TGGCCACCAGTGGCAGCCGGCGTTATTTTCTTTAGGGCATAATTCACAACACCATCATGCAATCATCTTCTGAAGACGTTTGCCATCAATTTAAACTGCATTCAATGAAACAAAAGAATTGTTCACTCCCTCATAGGTTTTTACAATTTGCTATCACTTTTGCCACTCCAGGACAGGTTGAAATTGATAATGTATAGCGTTGTCTTTTATTTTTTCTAAACAAGAATTGGAATACCTTCTCTGCTCTCGACTAATCGAGTGGAATAGTCTCTCTCATCTTGACTAGAATACCGTTTCTCTTAACGAGAGAATGCATTTCCTTGTCTCGTTTCGTTTAGTCTCTACTTATCCTGATTTCTCCTAAAGAGAAGATGTCATCAGTATTCCTTAGTGAACACTAATAATAGCGGTTACTGTTGCATTTCCAATCTCTAATTGCCTTAAATTCAATTGTTTGTTCACCTGTGATGCCAGTTATTCATCAATTGTGAATAACTTCATACCATCATTCATCGAAAACTTGATGCTGAAACTTGTTTCGGATGTTGGATTGTTTTTCGAAAACCAAAAGGCGAACAAAAATTATCTTCATGAGAATATTTTATTCCATAATCATCTCACACTATCATGATGAAAATGAACCTTGACACTTTCGGTCCCTCGGCTATAATTTAACGTTTTATGAGAGACAGTTACGGCGTTTAAGAAAATCTGAATTGAAGGAATCTGTCTCTTCCCGAATTTAGAATTTATATTACCATACATAGTTTTCGCTAGGTATTACAACTTCACTAAAATAAACGAACCGTCTTTTCTCTCTCTCTCTAAATTAATGGACGTTGCTTCCAACTCGGGCGCATTTGTCCAGGGTCCTCCTATCAAATTGACATCAATTTGACAGAAGTTTCGTCGGGGAGGCGCAGCGATCTCGCTCGAAGCAATGCTGCCATCCCTTTTCTGTCACACTTTTTATAATAAAAAACAATGTAGTTTTTTATAATCGCCTCCTTTTTTGATTTTTTGACATATCTATTTATTGGGTCGCCTCCTCTTCGGGACACCTTCGGATTTTTGAATTCACATACATGGCCCCATTACGTGGTTATCCGAATCACCCAGGCGTGGAAACCGGCGTGAATGAAGGGGCCCTTAAACTTCACTTCTCAAAAACTTTCACACATTTCAGTATTTATTACAATGGAATATCACAACACAAAACGGATCCCCACGATAGCACATGACATCTGCGTACCTTCTTTGTGGACGGACGTTATTAGCACGTCCGTCCACTACCACGGCCACTTCCACGAGACCGAATCGTCTTTTACATTTTCTGGTATTACATCAATTGTCAATTGGCTTCTGTTCATTTCAATATTTTCAGGCTCGGTTTCATCTTCCTCTGTGATTGAAGTTGAAGTCTCTCTTATATCAGATCCATCACAATCAGATTCAACACTTTCTGTGTTTTTAGCATTTTTATTGAATACATCAATAATCACTGTGATTGATTGTAAGACCGAGAGAATAAATAGGCTTATGGTATGAGAAAGAAGATACATAAGTTTTCAAATGAAAATCAGAAATATATCTAGAGAAAACTGCTTTGATTGTTGTTCCATGTCTTTGTAGTTCTAATTTATTTTGTAGAAGGTTTACCAAGTTTAACACGGACGCGAAATTAACATTGAAATTTATTGCTAAAATAAATAGCAACGTATGATAGTTTCCTGCTAATTCTTCAAAGCCTACTCCACCTCTCTCTCTCTCTTGCCCCTACAGTAATAGGTTCGTTCCAACCTTGAGTCACCAACAGATTTCCAACAGTTTGTAAATTGTGGTCAACGCGCATGTCTGGTAGATATTGGTTTCTGATTAATTTGAAATTTCTGATTGGAACAGCTGATAGTTCAACTGAAGTTTGGCATGGAATTTCAACATAACCTTTAAAAATAAATCTAATCAAGTGTATTTCTGGAGAGTAGTAGTAGACTTTATTTTAGGAATCCTAATATACAATATATAGTCATGCATATACGAATAATTTATATACGTATATAATTTTACAGTGCGTCATGTATTACAATTTGATATATTCTAATAATAACTTTTTGAATACTTTTAAGGAATTTACATGTTTTATTTCATCAGTTAACTTATTGAAATAATATAGACCTTTAAAGAACAATAAATTCATTGCACTCTTATAGTTTGTTCGGGATATATAAAATGTATTACATGATCTTGTGTTATATGAATGAATGTCACCATTTCGAACTAAATATCTGCTAAGAAAGGCTGGTTGTATCCCACTCGAAATTTTGAAAATAAAAAGCATGCTCAAATAATACAGTCTTTTATGTACCGGCTGCCACTGTAGAGTATTCAACATAGATTCAATAGGGGTATACTGGTTGCATCTCAAAATGACTCATACCTCGATTTTGTAGTTTCTGCAACTGTCCCATTTGATTTTGGTTAAATAGATACATCAGCGTGGCACAGTAGTCCAAGTGTGGCCTCATTATGCAGTTGTAACATGTTAGTCTAGTAAAGGTTGATAAAGATTTTGAAATTCTAGAGAAAAAATACATTTTCTTAGATATCTTTCTAATGGTATATTGAGCATGCTTATTAAAATTTAATTGATGGTTTAATTGATGAATCCTAGGTACTTAATTTCATTTACAATTGTGAGTTGATTATTGAAATTTGAAATTTAATTCATGGTTTAATTGATGAATCCTAGGTACTTAATTCCATTTACAATTGTGAGTTGATTATTGAATATGCTGATATTAACGTCGTTAGTATCAATCTTTCTTTGATTTGAATTTGTTGTAACCATCATTGCCTTAGATTTATTGATATTCAGTTTGAGTTTATTCACTTGTAGATATAATTCAATGTTCTTTAAAGTTATATTGATATTTTGTACAGCTTCTTTTAAATCACAGTTTTCCGTATTATATACAAGGGTATATTACTAATCAACATGGAAGTGGGAGGTAAAAGTAGGTCACCGCAATAATCAATTTGTGTAATTAAAGATGTTCATATTTTACGTTCACTTTGAGAATTCCTAATTTTTCCTGTGCCAGCAAATACATAATTTATTTTATAACAATTTTTGCAGGTTATGTTGTTTGCAAGTTACATGAACATAAAACAGAAACAGTAATACGGAATACGCATGCGTCAGATTAATGGTTAGAAGATAATCCTCAAACCATTCTGATAGATTTCGAACAGGTTTGAATCTTGGATGGAACAGAAAACTGATAGTTTACTAATGGTTGGAAACTCACGTGGAACGCAATCTCATTACTGCGCAGAATTCTGACTGTTAGAAACTGTTTCTGACGCTGGTTGGAACGAACCTGATATAAGAAATGTAACTCTCTCTTCTATATCCATCTTCACAACTTCCGTTCGCCTCGCCCGATTACGCTTCGTAACACTCTCGTCACGGATTCACCAGCTTACTCCCCAAGTCAAGCACGTCTAAAGACGTTTTTCTTAATAAATAAGAAAAATGCAAATAGGTGTTTCTTCGAATTCGCTTGAATGTATGTTGCCCTGGGCTAGCGAGGAAACATCTCATAGTTACCCAAATAACATATGAATAAACTCTCATAGTAGTATAACGTGAATACAGTTACAATTCAAGTGTATCCGACGAGGGGTTTCTACACCATTGCTACCTATGACCTACCAAAGCCACGATGATCAAAGTTTCATAGAAGTCCATTAGTGCATGACTCTTATAAAATAATATGCATCAGTACGACAATCCAAGGTTTGTGAAGAAAAAAATGAACTTTGATCTCTAAAAAACTCACTAAAGGACTGGTTGCTTGATAATAATAATAATAATATACTGTATTGTCATTAAGAATAAATCTTGTGGACAAAGCTTGTGAAAAATACATACAAACGTAAGTATAGAAATATAAAATGTGAATATAAAAATACTTACAAAAAAGTGAAGTCAGAACATACACTATAGTTCAACATCAAAATTTTGTCTCAACAAAAAAAAATGCTTTCCAAACAAATACTTCTATGTGAACACTGAATTATACAGAAGATACTTTTCTCTACTCAGTTTGTATTTCAAACATTCGTTGTGGAATAAAAATCAGATATCATTAACATGGGTTCTACTTCAAATGAATGATAACAAATTGTGTTTCAATCACTAAGTGATCATCTCCAAGAATAAGATTAAACTTGGGTTCATTCTTAGTGATTGAAACACGTGTCGAGGTGGTAAAAATAACGGTTTGGTGTTGGAATAAAACTCCAGTTATATTCATTACTAAACCAAAGGTTTCAAAAATATTTCACTCTCTCCGCACAAACTTCACGAAAGTTTGAACTGAAGATATGAGATGATCGTTCAGTGATTTTCATGTCTTAGTTGATGAATACACCTCTCTAGAGAACAGGAAAGCCTGTTTCAATTTTCATTCGGGTCACATTTTTTCAACCCAATTCCTTTGTCGTACATGTTTGCAAACCGCAAATTCACTGATAATCACGATGAAAAATGTGAGTCACTTCTATTTTGGGTGAGAAAAATTGAGAAAATTTGCAAAAAATGTGAAGAGAATTGTTTGGTTCATCACTGAAAACGTTTTATATTCTTTGACGCTTAATCAAATCCTTCATAAAAAACAATTATAGACAATGAAAGTAATTTTTATTCTCGTGAGGATTTATCATTTGAAAATGAGAGCATAAGATATATTACTGAACCAAACTTCCGTATGCTTCAAATGGCGCGGCAAAACATGCTTTGGTTATTGGATTATTGCTCAAAATCATATCAAAAAGCTGGGACTTGTGTTCTGTGATTGAGTTCTGAAATAAATTCATAATAATCAATTTGATATTCCTAATCTAACGGAATTTGATGAAATTCTTGATAACAATCACATTTATTTCATCCGACTGGACCCAATCACCAAATTGATCCACCCCGAACTCTGTTTCAGGAATCAAGTATCGTCAATACACGGCGTCTGGTCCCACATGAGAAACACGGTAGCCACATTGTTTCTTGGCGAAAACGACATTACAGAGATCCCCAGCGACCCATCTGATCACAATCCCAAAAAACAACATAGCTGGCAACAATTCAAGTCTTTGATTTGGCTCAACTTGGACAGAAATAGAATACATAAAATACACGAACGTTCGTTTCCGATCACTCTGAAAACGGCGAGTCTTTCACACAATTTGTTAGATGCGTTTCCCTTTGAAATCATTGCGACTTGTTCCCACTTACAATGGCTCTATTTGCGAGGAAATTACATCCGGACATTACCGGACTACACGTCTCCGAGGAGAATTTGGCTGGAGAAAATAGATCTGGGAGAAAATTACTTGGAAAGTTTGCCTAAAGTACCATTCAACAAATCCATCAGCATACGAGATCTCAATTTATCATTTAATGACTTAAAAACCCTGACTGCAGATAGTTTCTATGGGTTGAGTACTGGAAAGTTGATTTTGTCAAATAACTTGCTTGAAACTATAGAGCAAGGAGCCTTCAGAGGAATAACCAAAACTTTGGAATATCTAGACTTTGATCACAATAATTTTCAGTCTATACCTAGTGAACTCACCAACTTAAATTCATTGAAATATCTTTATCTCTCATCGAACTACTTGGCTAATATACCTGATTGGTTATTCCAGAATTCCTGCCAAACACTCAAAGCTCTGAGCCTAAGCGGAAACTATCTCACCAGAATACCAGTAAATGCTCTGCAAAACTGCTCAAAAATCCATCATTTCAATATAGCCTTCAATAAAATATACGACCTTGACGAAAATGATTTTTCCGGTTGGGGATATAATATCAGAAGCCTTATTCTTGCCAACAATAAAATCACTTATTTGAAAAGCAAGGTGTTTGCTGACCTACAGGATCTCAAAGAACTCAGTTTGAGTTTCAATCCGATCAGACAAATCGATGAAAAGACGTTCGTAGGACTGGAGAGCCTTGAAAGTTTGGAAATTTCTTTCGGTTTTGATACGAATGAACTGTTATATGAAGTTTTTGAACCTCTTGTGAGCCTCAAGTGGCTCTCAGTTGACAACAATAATTTCCTTTCAATATCTTCCTCATCTTTTGAGTCTCTGTCGGAGTTGAAGTACCTGAATTTGGAATCGAATAAAATCAAGACAATTCCTGTGATGTTGTTGAAACCAAGCATTCACGCGAAACTCAAAGATGTAAGATTTTCAGACAACGAATTGTTCTTGATAGAAACTGAAACTTTCCGATCCCTATCCAGTTTAGAAAGTATTTCTCTAACGAACAATAAAATCAAATACATACAGAGCAAATCTTTTGCGGACCTACCCTGCTTGAGTAAGATAATACTTTCTGATAATTTTCTAACTGATATCAGTTATGATGCTTTTACCAACCTCCCAATTATCAGTAAAATAGACTTCCACAACAACTTATTACAAGAAATATCTTTCAAGTTCTTCACGAACGTTTCTGGATTACTACATCTAAATTTCAGTAGAAACTCTATATCATCCTGCCAATCGGATGCAAGAGTTCTGAATGTAGAAGTTTTTGATTTGAGATTCAACAATCTAGATCGCATTCCAAAATGTTTAGAAAATACTGCGTTTCTCAAGAAACTCCTTCTGGACTTCAATATCATAACTTCGTTGGAGCAAAACGTTTTTATGTATCTAACATCACTGGAGTATTTGAGTTTGCAACAAAACAATATCAAGTTAGTGAATAAGAGAGCCTTTTTTGGATTGCAGAATTTGCAGATCCTGGATTTGTCGAAGAATTTAGTCAGTCAGTTGCACGTAGGGCAATTTGCCAACATGTCGAAGTTAAGGATTCTGAATCTGAGCGGGAACAATCTGAACTATCTGGCTAAAGATATTTTCAGGAATACGTCTATCGAAATGTTAGATTTAAGTTATAATTCCTTCTCGGTCGTGCCAAGTTCTAGTGTTTCTGACGCGGGAGTTACTTTAAGGCATCTCTCAATGAGATCCAACAATATCGAACATATCGATATCACAACATTTCCGGATATTCCTTCTCTGCAGTTTCTGGACTTGAGCAACAATAAGCTAACCATACTACCGGACAACGTTTTCACCAGCCTGGGATTGTTGCAAACTCTCGACTTGAGCTCCAATCCCCTGAGATCCAACTTTAAGGAACTGTTTCATTATGCACAAAGTTTGAGGAATCTTAATTTAGCTTATTCCGGTATAAGTTTCACTCCGCATTTTCCTTTGCCCAACTTAGTTCGTCTGAATTTGTCGCATAATCACATCGATACAATCGGCAAAAACTCTGTTATTCTACTGTCAAAACTGAAACTACTGGATTTGAGTTACAATAGCATATCTCGAGTGCCTTCGCATCTGTGGGCATTTCTTCCCATTTTGAAAATTTTAGACTTATCACACAACCCTATTAAGGAATTATTAGCCGATAGCTTTGTCGGTTTATCTCATCTACAAGAATTAAATATCCTGAATTTGAATCATCTAAACAGATTTCAGAGTGACAGTATTTCCCAACTGAAAGTAATATCCAAACTTTCTATGAGGACTTGGCCAAAAATTGAAGGTTTTTCGAATGAGCTTTGTCGTTTGTTTACTAAAACCACTCAACTGAGAACAGTGAAAATTCATTTTTTAGAAAACGAACTGAACGATCAATTACTTTGCATAACAAGTCGAAAAGTAAGACGATTGGAAATAACTGGGACAAACTTGAGATGGATTGATAAAGGGGCATTTGCAAAATTCGATAGAAATCCCGAGTTGACATTGAAAATTTATGGGACAAAAATAGAGGAGCTGCCATCTGAACTGTTTTCGAATATGTACAGGGTATCACAACTGACTATAGATTTGAGAGGAAATTCATTGACGCATCTCCATCCGGAAATTTTCTACGGAAATATGAGTAGGTGGAATGATGTAGGAACTACACTTATACCAGGTAAATTGAAAAGAGAAACTACTGAGATTCAATATATTATAAAAAATAGTCTGTATGTGCTTTTTCTAGGTTGCATATCGCCTATATTCATTTTCTTATTTGAAAAACATCAACATTTATTACTTGATTTTCAGGGTCGAATTATAATTCGGAAAAATGTGGTTGAAACAACAGTAGTTCAAAACATAGTTCTTGTCAAATTTTACAACAACGGAAAAACTGAGCTAGCGTAGTTTTCAAAATAAGGATTTTCATATGAAGTATTGTATATTCAATAGTGGATTTATATTTTATGAATATTTATCTCCTCATCATAATGAAAATCAACATATCGCAGCACTGATAATTAGAAAAGCCCTAGAACAATATTCTGATTGCTGCATATGGAAGTGCGTGAAACCAATAAATGAAAAAAGTATTGACTTTATCTTTTCCATATTTTGCTTAATTTAATTTTGAAAACAAAACTGTTCTTCATTTCATATTAAAGCTAGACTGGAGATATGATAGGTCAGAATCAATTCATCTTCGTTCCACTTCCAGATAACGCTCTTTCGATCTGCAGTAGATTTCGTCAGTGGTATAAGGCCGGGTCATGAGAAAATGATTATCGAGCCAATATGTTGAACTAAATCAAATTCCGAATCAAGTGAGTCAAGATGATCACAATGTGTATGATAATATCATATATTTCATCAATTGCCACTAACTTTCTTCTAAGATAGTGATGGAGTGTGTAGATGTTATGAAATTTTGGTATCAAAACAAATATTACATAATAAAATCTCTTGACGAACCCAATCTAGTGAAGACTGTTTTCCTGTCCACTTTTGATCATGAAATTATATAGTAAGTTTAAAAATTTGATCGATCAAAAAAACTGTTTTAATGATTGGCAGAATTCTTTTATTCGAAAAAAGATTTTCAAATGATGAAAACAAATATTGTTTTCAATTTATGTTTTCTTCATATCTCACTGATTCATTATTTGTCTTCATCATAAGGATACATACCACCTATGTCTGATTGATTTGTTGATAACTTTCATTGAAAAATAATAAGAGATAATGAATTCTGTAGTACACATCTGAGTGAGTATTTTAGTTGAATTTCTACTCTATATCATATGGTCGAATTCACATGAAACAGACAACTCTGGAATGATCCGTCATGCAGCCCAATATTGTGAAATCATGTTTCATTGACTGGGCACCTATCTGTAATGAAGCCAGATTTAGGTGTGCCAACGTTCTTCGAAAATTGTTTCCTGAATATACACTGTCCTCTTAATGCCCTTTAGCAACCGGCATACTTTTTCTTCCATGTCGTTTCAACGTGGTCATTGGTCATTGACTTTATCCTATACCGAGCGAGTTTTAGCTGGATCGCTTCGTTGAATCTCTGGAACTGAGATATTACGCAAAGATGAACGGAATGTTTCCAAATATATATGTTTTTCAACTGGCTGTGAGGTACAACGACCTTTTCTGTAAGTTGAAAAGGTATTTTTCCAGAATAAACGTGTCTTTCTTCAGATCAAAACTTCCAACATTTCGTTAGAGAGAAGAAAATCCGGACTGGTAGGCTATGGTAGAATGGAATATTGAGTACTTTAGGTCCCATTCAACCACGACCTACCAGCCCAGCTTATGTTTCCTCAAATCATCACCACGGCCTAGAAAGCCAATGTTCACATTTTCTTCATTTCGTCTTCACCAACAATACTAAAACGCGCTTTCGATTGACTTTTGTTTGAGGTACTTTCACTACGATGTCTAATTTTCTACCTCTTCCGTGTTCTTGTCTTCGACATACGCCAAATACAACTTTGTTCATCAAAATTGCCTTATCCGGATTCTCAATGAGCTTCGAAATATTTTCCTTAAATAGAATATTAGACAGTTTTGGATGTTATCTTATTGACCTTTGCTTGCTAACTTGTGGTAATTAGCGATGTTAATATTCTTATTCATCTTTGAATATTTCTATCAATGAACCCCTTAGAAAATGTTTCAGTAAGATAAATGGTTTCATTCCATTTAGGTCAGTCATATTATCTATCGTAGACCACTCTCGATTTTTTTTAGTAGTGACTTCTATGTTGCTCATTTGCAATTCCACCCGAAATATTAAAATTCACATACGAATGTTGGGTTGATCATGATCATGTTCTCTTGGCATAACCATTGGGTTGACAGGTTGGATACTAGTTATTCAAACTTATCTGTTTAATAAATGAATCTTTTATCAAAATAAACGCTGTTTCATTCAGAACATGATGATATTGAGTTTCTTGCACTGAATTTGGCCTGTATAACGGTTGGCAACTTTCAAACTCCTCAATTTTGAGGCGATTGATGACGTGCGACAAAGAGGTCCAAGTGAGATGTCCTGTTTGATAGAAAAGAAAGCATCATTGCAGCTGTACACGGTGCGCCCCTCTGATGACAGAGAGTATGCATGATATTTGTTCGTGTGATCTACAAGAATAGTGATAGCCTAGTGAATATGGAGCATTATTTCGGCTTCTCTATTTCTTCAATTTGTATTGCGGTTTTTGCTACAGCAAAATAATTCAATACATTTCATTGTTTTATTCTACATTCTAGCGATTTCGTTCGTTACAGTGAGTATTCCAATTACTACTGCATGATATGTTGAAAAGCATATACTTCTTCTGTTTTTCGCTAGTAATAATTTACGTTAGCAAGTATAACCCAATCACAAGGGAACGAAATTTAGTCGTGATAACATCACCCATAACGAATCTTTATACGTTCTTATTGCTGTAGCATTTTTGCATATGTCCGTTGCGCCAGTAAAGAAATTTGGGGTAGGCAGCTAGGTTTACACTAAAATGGTAAAATCTCCCGTAACGGTTCTTGTTCATTTCCGTTGACATTAACTTGAGTTGTTGATGAAATTGTGGTTCAAAGTTGAAAAGTAATCAAATGAAAATGAAAATTGAAACAACTGAAGCCTATTCGCACCACTGCTGAATAGGTGAAATTTTTTTTCCAACTATAGAGGAAGTGGGGCGCTTCGTACGGTTTCCACACTTTATTTTTTTTATTTTTTGATAAATGAAACACCTGACAGCTCAAATTTATTGTCTAACTATCTGAGATTTATAAAAAATTGACAGTTGGTTTCATCTGATGTTTCAACCATAATTATGATTTAAACTAAAAGTGGAATATGTACGAATCTGTCCCAATAACGGAGCACCTATATAGATACAGTGTTGGGGGTACCTTCGTACGCTGTGGGGTAGTTCCGTACGTGCGAATAAAACGCCATCTATGAATCAAAATTCTTTTATTAGTCATAAAATTGAACACAAAAATGAAGATTGATTTGTGTTAAACAAAAATAAAATCCTTTTCTTACAGTCAACAAAAATTACATAGCTTTCCTTATGTAAAACAAAACTTAAATGACTTTTCTTAAAATTAACGAAAATTAAATTAACTTCCTCTAAAAATAAAACGTAAAATTGCTTCAGTTTCTGCGTAAATCAGTTATCTTGAATTCATAATCACATTTTTTAATCTTTGGTGCGGATTAGCACTGCAAAAAATTTTTGTTAATCAACAATATGATAAAAACTATTGAACAGTACTAAAAAAATGAAAAGTTTTGATGTTCTAGAAGTACAAGGTACTGAAGCTTAGGTAAATGAAGTATCATTTCAACATCAGTTATATAAATAGTATGAATATCTTCAACATTAAGGAAAACAAATGTCCACGAAAAGCCTGGCTCCTTTCTAAGATAAGATACTTTAAATTCAGTCTGACTATAGTAACCGACAACTTTTCCTACATAGTAAATAATACTTTTATCTTAGGGAACTTTCAGTAAATCCGGCACGGTTTTACTGTTATTATTATATATACGTATCTCACTGAAATATCTACAGTTTTATAGCTGAGTCACCAATAAAATTATACGGCATTAACTGTCTATCTAGCTTTGGTAACCCTTTCGCTATTTCCGTGTTTGTTTTATTTAGATAATATTTGGCAACTACTGTCACCATATGCGAATTTCTCCACATCAAATTTTGGATGTTAGGTAAGTTCGAAAGAGGCTTAAATTCCGCCTCCTGCACTAGGAGGTCTTTAGTTGCAGAGAGAAAAGATCTTAAAAAAATTCGCAGACACTTCCTTCCAAGAGGTTACTATGGTAGATTTTGAAATAAAAGCCTGCTTAAAACCTTCAGAAGAAATTATATTCAGTAATAAAGGAAATAAAGGAAAAATATATAACAAAAAAGTCAAAGAACAAAAATGTCAAAAAATAATATACGAGAGTGACGGAATACTCTAACTCGGTCGATGATTTCTGACCACTAAATATCTATAAGGCAATTATTCGGTCCACTCTGTATATAAATTTAAAATAGCTAACTCCTTTCCAAAATTATAAAATGGTTAGTACACATGTATATTTTACTCACCGCTGCCTTTTCTCTGCTCGTCCCCTATTTAAAACTTCCTGCACTACACTGCTCGATTTTCGCTTCAGAATAAAAGACTACTCAAAATCGCGCTAACCGCCTGTTTTCAAGAATAAAAAAAATTAAAGATTCTACCCAGGAAATCTCCCAAAACAAAATATACCGCCCTTGATTGACCGTCAAGAAAACCCTTCAAACTCCCCAGTTTTCGAACCACCTCAAAATTTACGCAAACTTACTTTCCAAACAAAAACTTTCGCACCACTCTAAGACCGCTGTCTTAAGCGAAGAGCTCTCAGAACCCTCTGTATTTTATCCTTTCAAAAACCAGGAAGACCATCACGAGTGCCTCGCCCCTCGCGTTTCTCAACCCGTACGACGTAGGGCATCAAAAACATCTTTCAATGAGTTCACAAAACTTTCCATTCTGAGATATCGATATGCTCATATTAACATTTCGAGTTACGTGATTATATCTGATTGGACATTTTCTCACGCCGATGAATAGTGTTTACCTTGACACTTTCGGTCCCTCGGCTATAATTTAACGTTTTATGAGAGACAGTTACGGCGTTTAAGAAAATCTGAATTGAAGGAATCTGTCTCTTCTGGTTCGAAAGCATCTAAATTGAATCTTTGTATTATCATAAGTTATCAATTGTGAGTTGATAGTTTGTTCTGTAGATTCTCGCGGAACCTCCAAAAAATTCTGTGTTCCAGAAGTAGGGGGTTGGCAGATATCAGAGACACTTGGCTGCGGAGTAGGTGCTGACAAATCTTCAACGAAATTTTGAGTATGAGGCACATGTTCTAAGTTACCGGATGTGAACACCTCAATTGGAGCAAAATCTTCGACACTGAAGGCAAATTCATCAAGAGGCCATATTCCGGGTTTGTTGAATCCACTTGTGAAATTTTTTGCCGTGAGTGATTCGAAAAATGCAAATTTCATAAGCTTTGGAATATAGTAAATTGTCAATGCTTTGCCTGGGTTCATTATATGCCAATTATTGAAAGCAATTTTCAACTTTGATATAAATGGTCCAATGACTCCCACATCAAGTGTTTGTAGGCGGTGAGATGTATGTGGTGAAAAGATAGGTGAATCATGCCATTTTTTTTTGGCGTAGTTGATGTCTTCGAGAGAAACATGGCTTTCATGATTGTCACACAACAATAACATAGCGTTATCTTTTGGGCAGAGTGTGCGCGCTCTGGATATGTTTTGAAACAGAAATGAATATATCGCAATTTATCTAGCCACTTTTATTTGTAGCGCCGAGACTTCCTTCGGGTGCTCCTTCGAGTAAAGTATCTTTATAATGAACGCGTGGAAACACGAAAAGTGGAAAAATGGTATCTCCACTGGCAAGTATAATGCCACCAAAAGTTACCAGCTCGCCTCTTTCAGCTAATAGAATTTGTCCGACCTGTTTTTGACATTTTGTAGCCAGGACTTTGGGAGTACCTGAAACGCTAGATACACCCGATTCGTCGAAATTGAAGATTTTGTCAGCAGTTAATGGATGTCATCACGAAACTGTTTTCAATTTGGTATAAAATTCAATAACTGAACTTTTGTTAAACGCAAAAAATCTGGCATAGTTTGTGTTTTCGAGTTTGCGTAAATTGAGTTCCGGGTTTCTTCTGCGATAACCATGCATCCATTTTTTTTCAGTCATATTATTTTCTTTCCATTTTGCTGGATATTTCAAACCCAAAGATTTGCCATACTCATATGCTAGCTTTTTTAATTGAATCATCGTGAGTCCATAATGCATCTTACATTTGATAATATACTCAGTCAACAGTTTTTCTTCTTCCCTAGAAAATACTTGGTATATTTGGAATCAAATGTACGGTTGCTTGACCCTTCAGCATCATTGCTATTATTGTATTTTTTACTCGGCTTTCTAATGTTGACAATTTCAAATTGTATTTGTCATTAGCTTTTCTATATGACAATACTCCTTGCATAACATTCTGTATTGCTGACTGCATAGATTCTTCATCTACAGCTTGTCTATTTGTCTTTTTTTGTTAATAAGTCCGCAACATGTTTCTGTGAAAAAATAATAAGGAATAGGTATCAAAATATATATACGTACATCCACGATAGCAAAACACAGGACAATATCAATGCAAAAATTAGCAAATTAGCAGCACTAACACACTAAATTGTACATACCTACCAGTTGGGGTACATTCGTGCCCCATCTAGTTCTGTCCGAGAGTACCCCACTAACCAAATAACAACAAAATATAAGGTCTTTTAATATTAATAATAAAACATCATAAATTGAGTATTGAAAACGTATCTTAAGTCCTTACTGATAGAATACTCTAAACGGAACTTATTTTATCTACGGTGACAATAGACAAAAACATTGATAAAAAAATTACTTATAGAGCGCGAAAACACGATCGTGCCTGTCACTTCACTATCACCGGTGCGAATGGCGCGAAACTACGTTGACGTAAAGTTGGTACCTGGACTCACGCACACATACAAAAGCAAGACCGTATGACTGTATGAATGTGCCTCGCGTACGAAGGGTAACGATCTTCCCCTAGTTGCTTATTATAGAAAATTTTGATTGCAATTTTTTTTTGTTCCACGATTTTGAAAATGGAAAAATATGAATCATCTGATCAGAACTCACCCTGCTCCTTCTTCGCATCCCCACTGTCAATTACTCCAAAATAAAGGGCAGTATTCACTAGTCTATTGCTATCCTCCTCAATTAAACGAACAAATAGGTTGCAGATTGTGTTTCATCAGGGAGACGCCCCGCGGGCAATTGAAATGCTCAGTCCGCTTCTGAGGTACAGGCTAGTTTACTCGAACATATGAGGTAAATTGCTGGTAATCCATACTTTCAATTGATATTGAAATCGTTCTCTAAACAAATGAGTGTAATGTAATGAATTTCCATCTGATCATAGTCTGGCCATAAAATGTTCAGTGAAACTACTCGTGTATAGTATGTCCCAATAATTTTTAATCGAAATGCTGAAATACGAAGCAAGTGTTGATATATAATTTTTTTCACATGGTGATCAATATAAATCATTGTTATTGATATTTCAAAAGGAAACTGTATCATAGAAACAAGAATTTTTCATTTTATTTTATGTTCATGAATAATATTTGGTTTTCCTGAAAATGAGAATTTTTATTAGGTGAAAGTACTAGTTGGCAAAAAAAAATTATCTTTTTTTTAGTCAAAAATGAAAAATATAGTTCATCATTCCAGATTGTACTGCTCATTTATTTTGAAACTTGATTTGTATATAGAAAATTTTCGAAAATTCCCCTAGAGAACTCAACATATCTGAATTAGTTTTTATGAACATAGTACGTCGTGATTATTTCGGAAGAATGAACTACTCCTATTATTGAATGAAAGTGATGAAATAATTTCAGATTATTAATAGGATTTACTTCTCTAATTTCTTGAATTGTTCAATTCCAGTGCAGATAACTGAATTTAACAAATTTATAGGGGGTCTGTTCATTTCGGATAATTCCTTCCGATGTGGATGTCACCTTTCATGGCTTAGTCACTGGCTGAGACGTTGGGCCAGAGAGAGTCTCCAGTCACACAATACTCCCATCGAGACTGCTATGAAAATCAACGAAGTCATAAGAGAAGCAACCTGTATAGATGTCGCCACGGAAGTGCGTATTCCAATTGTTCAGTTACAGCCAGAGGACATGAGTTGTCATGCCAGTGCTCTTAGTGATTCGGGACGAACCAATGAGATTTCTGTCATGTTCTTTTCCTTATTGTTCATCATTGAATTGATTAGGTAGTAAATGTGTATTTTTAAAAGGTACGACTAACAAACAACCTAATGATGAGGAGGACCATATATATATATATATATATCTCTTCCAAAGTATGACCCCTTTGGCAGTAACATAATGTGAAAAGCGAAAAAATTTGGAACTTTCGAAAGTTTTTTGAAAAACAAATTTTTGTGGCCGCAAAGAACCTGCCGAAACTAAAAATGCCCAAAGGTAAGTTGTCAATTTTCAGATCCGTTGATCAATGACTTACTTTTTTTTTCGCAAATGTATCAATAGAATTAAGAACATAGAATATGAACTTTGATAGCAATTCCAATTTATATTTATTTATATTTTGGAGAGTATGGTATGGCGTATTCAATGTTTTTGGTCATTCGCCAGTCATCGTTTTTGTTGACACTGCACATCTTCATCAAATTGTCGAAAACGGGAAAATAGTTTATGAATTCAATTCACATTGATTCTCCATTTTCAAATTAATATTTGAATTGATGACATCTGAAATTTTTATTCAATGATCGAATAATAATTTGATGCAATGTTTGAATGATCATTGAATCAATGATATTCAGTTTGATATTTCATTCCATTCATCGCATATCACATTGATAATAACTTCAGTATTTCCTTCATTTCACAAGCTCAAAGTCATTCGAACAATATCAGCCCGTGTTCCATTTTAGGTTATTGCAATAAAGTCAAATAATCGCTGAGATTCGTCGATTCAGCAATCGTCAACCCAATTATTCATGAGAAACGAATAATTTTGTTTTTCATAAATAGGAATACTCTTTCCCGATAATGGTTTTCTGTTACCAGTTTTGATTGAAGTTAGTTCAGGCCCTCGTGTGAGTACTTCTTTTCAATTCGATTATTTCACAGCACTCAGGTGAACTCTTCACGCAACACAAGTCGAAAAATCTTCTGCTGCCAGAACTAACTAGCACTTCGTGGTTTTCTTTTGACTTTTTCAGTTAGATTTCGGAAGTCATTTTCTTGAAAAATGCCCCACTAAGTCACTGAGGCGTGACAAAAATTTTCCACATCTCTCTTCCAATTATTCGGATAATTGCTGAGGGAAGTAAAATTCCTCAGATGAACGTGAGATATTATGTTTTCATTCATTTCCTTCGTACATTGTTAGGTAAGAAACGTTATCGAAATCATATCCGATTCCACAATAAAGAAATGAAGCCTTGAAAATGATTCATTACTTATAAAATGGAAAAAAAGGAATAACTTGTATTGGCATCGTTGGTTCCGTCTTGAAGTTGAATAATTGTTTTTCCAACAACTTACTTTATCAACAAATAATAATCATATTCATATTTCCAGAGTTTTCCAAAACGATCTGAAACTTAGGAAGGTGTTGATTGTCATTATTATTCATCATAAGTGATACTTTGGAAGAGATATCACTTCGAATTCCAGAAATATGGCTGCCTAACGAGAGATGTTGAATTTCATAATGAATTACACACAAACGGCCTGAAAATGAAAAATTGTAAATAATTTCATTCATTAGAAATTCTCGAATAGAAATATTGTAAATGAAGTCAAAGTACTGTAAAAAATATAATATCATACCAACGAAACTTAACAGATCTCATTGTGAGATATGAATGTAAATATGAACACATCTTCGAATATGTGTTGAGGGTAGAATTTTCAAAAATGTAAATATTTAGTGCATAATCTATGCTCAATTAGAAAAATTGTCCAAAATGCACTATGGTTATTTGTTGAAATAGTTTTTGTAAATGAAAGAAAAATATTAAAATTTTAACTATCACTAGTTTTTAATTCAAGCTCCCACAATTTATTTACAGATATAAAGACTATTGAAATATTAAAAGTTGCAAATCACAAACACGTGTTTCGGGCTTTCATCATTAGTATGGTGCAGCCACTTGCAAATATGAGCAACACTTGGTTGTCAAAAGAAGTACAAATGCACGGAACCATCAGTAGAAGCCAGCCGCACATTTTTTATTTCAGTTAATAGATCTTGTACTTGTGATGCTGTGTTTGGAACCCTTGGTGTAGTAATGAGTATTACTGGAGTTTTTTCCCAACACCAAACCGTTATTTTAACACCCCACGTGTTTCAATCACCAGATGATCAACTTCAAGAAGAAAATTAAACTCTTGAAGATTATTACTTGGTAATTGAAACACGTGTTGAGATGTTAAAAATAACGGTTTGATGTTGGGAATAAACTCCGGTAATATTCATTATTCAATAGATCTTGCATTTACAAGAAAATTACTGAAATTGGCAGGGAGGTAGCTATAGCTATATGCGTGACATCTAGATCCAGGAAGTGATATAGGTATAAAGATTGTTGAGTGTCTCAGTATGAATAGAGGAGATACTTTATCAAACATATAACTCAAGAGAATGGCAAACCATAGACACGTGTTTCGGGCTTTTGGCCCACCATCAGTTTTTTGTAGTGCGAAGGTAGGCAACACTTGATTGTCAAAAGAAGTACAAATCTGTTTTAAAATCTGTTTTTCCGTTAACCAGCTGTCGCACCCCTACGAACGACAACCCTCAGAAGTCGAAACTTGTGCGAGCTAAGGATTAACGAGGTCTTACCTTTTAACGTGTGATTCCTAACACGGGTTGGACGATAGCAAGTGAAGATCGATCGTTCAGACTAGGGCTTGAACCACCGACCAACACGGCAGTCAATTCGAGTGAGTGAACAAATCACCCACGCCGAACCGCTTGGCTACCGACTGATCAAATGCACGGAGGCACCAGCCATCTTTGCACCTGGTTGCACCACTCTGATGATGGGCAAGGAACTAAAATACATGTCCATGGCTTGCCACTTCCTTGACTGCTTTCTTCGATAAATTATCTCCTCTATTCATATAAGACACTTAATTATATTTATATATGTATTATTTCCTGGACCCGAATGTTACGCAGGTAGTTATAGCTGCCACCGTGGTAATTTTAGTAGTTTCCTTATAAATACATGATCAATCAACTGAAAAGACAAATATGTGTCTGGCTTCTGTTGATAGGTCCGTGCATCTGTATTTCTGTTGACAAACGAGTGTTGCTCATCTTTGCATTTGGCTGCATCACACTGATGATGAAGCAAAAGTCCTCTATACTCATCAAGTGGTTATATATGTGAGAAAAGAAAATTAATTCTGCAGATTACATATTTTTTTGGAGTGAGTGAAAACATATTACAAGAAGGCACATATCTTACATGTAAGTATGACATCGGCAACCATCATTAATATATTTCCACTTGAATAATTTTGTGGAATCTGATAGAAGATCAAAGAGATATTTTTCTGCGAAAGCTTCCAGTCACAAGCAGGACAGGAAAAGTGAAACGACAGCAGAATGGCATGTGTGGGAAAGATACTATGGAGAATCTACCCTGCGTACGTAATAACTCTTTTGGTCGTCTATATATCTCTATTAGTTCCTATTAACAAAATCGGTCTTTCCGACCACTCTCGTGTAAGCTAAGGACTAACGAGGTCTTACCTTTTATCGTGTGATTAAATTGTTTGAGTGGGAAAAGAAATATTTTCAAGTGTCATGATGAATCATGTGTCATTTCAAACGTCAGAAATAACAGTTTTTCTAGAAGTTTTTTAATTGTTTTACCAGAAGTCCCTGAGTTCAAAACAATTGTGTTCGTTTTCAATATAATCACAACGTCTGGTGGCTGAACTTCAAACTGTAGTCATTCTTGTTTCAGGCTTCGGTAGCGGAAATATTCATAATAGGCAAGCATCAATAGGATCGATTTCAATTTCATATTTGCCCACCAAGTAGAGCACATGAATATGTCAAATGCAATCTTGCCGAAAACTCGTGATTGTATTAAAGAAGAACGGATGTACACCCGAGCTAACACTTCAGCATCACTAAAAAAAATCGGACTACCGATGCATATCTTCTCTTACCGAACTTCATCAGAACGGTGCAGCCAAGTATACGTATGGGTAAACTTTGGTTGCAAGAAACAATATGCTCGGGTGCATCCACAGAGTTCCACTGCTGCAGGTGCCTGCGTGACGTCTGTGCCTAAAAATGGATTTTGAGTGTCTTTCATCGAAACGAAGGAAACTCATGTATCAAGCGCTCAAAAAATGCCAACCGTAGACATGTGATTCTGACTTATAGATCAGTATGGTGTAGCCAATTGAAAGTATGAGCAACACTTGATTGTAGTGAATAAAACGAATCACTGATGCTTTTAACGGAAGTGTTCTGGTAGAGGCAAAAAAGTACGACTGATTTCTGTCGATAACTCTGTGTATTTGTATTATTCCACTTTATACTAATGACGGTTAACAAGACAGAAACGAATGTATGCGTTATACATTTTTGAACGGTTCAATTAGCTTGCCCTGTTCGTTTGTTTGTATATTTATTTGTTTATGTCAAATTTATCATATGGAGATGACCCCCTTCTTGTTGACAGATTGCTCTGAAATTCGATACACACATTCAGTTTTGATGACAATACAATTTAATGAACTCAGTATCGTTGCTACAAAATGACGGATTACGCATGGTTCCACAACAACCTCAATATGGGTATCAAATGACAGGGCTTGACTAATAGAATAGAAGTTCACTCTGAAAAAGATGCAATTTCATAATGGTCGCGATTGCAAAATGGTGGATTACATAGTTTTCACAACTACCTCAGTATGGGTATCAAATAGGAGGGTTCGACTAGTAGAATAGTTGTACACTTTGAAAAAGATGCAAATTCAAAATAGCCGCGGCTACAAAGTGGCGGATTACTCCAATATGGCGACTACTCCAATATGGTTTGTGATAAGGTGGTTAACAATGTTTCATGGTGAACTTCATTAGTTCGGACTTCCATTTTCTAATATGATATAAAATGATTTGAAATCCCTGAAAGAATTGATAAGAAAGACCACACTTGTCAGGATTCCACCAAATTGAAATGGATCCTAAAGACATAGAAAAAAACTGCATTTTCCGTAGAAAATGGCCTCTACGAATTCCTGAAGATGCCATTCGGGATGAAAAACTCACCCTCCACCCTTCAACGAATTTCAGACCATATATTAACCGGACTTAGAAACGAAAGATGTCTAGTCTATATGGACGACATAATAATTTATTCCTCAACAATTGACGAAAACTTGCAAAATTCAAAACTACTATTCAAACGTTCACGAAAAGCTAATTCAAAAATACAACCCGACAAATGCGACTTTCCAGAGCCTAAAAATGCTAAAGAAATTAAACAATTTTTTGGTTCAGCAGGCTATTATCGAAAATTAATCCCAAATTTTTCCAAAATATCTAAACCAATGACACACTTATTACAAAAATATGTGAAATTTAATTTTCATAATGAATGTAAACTTGCAATTCAAGAATTGAAAAAAGCATTAACGTCAACCCCAATTCTAATATACCCTAATTTTGACGAACCCTTTATTTTAACAACAGACGCATCTTCCTTTGCAATAGGAGCAGTATTATCTCAAGGACCCATAGGAAAAGATTTACCTATCGCCTATGCATCCAGAACATTATATCCAGCCGAGACAAAATACTCTACCATAGAAAGAGAATTATTAGCTATGGTATGGACAGTTAAACATTTTCGTCCCTACCTTTATGGAAGCCGATTAGCCAGATTGACAGGATTAAAACCCAAACTAGGTCACATTATACGAGCAAGTAATCCAACAACGATGTTAGAAGCATCAATCAGAATAAAACGTGAGATACAGCTCTCATATTTTGAAAATCAAAGATTTAATACTCGTCTACCCCCAAATCAAAGTCAGAATAGACCAAGACAAATGACAAACACCCAAAATAATTTCCAAAGAAATTATATGCAAAGCCAAAATCCAATAAGACCCATTGGAAATCAAAATCAAAGTCAAAGCTTTCAACAAGGTTTTCAAAGACCACAAAACTACCAACAATCATATATTCCAAGACCCAACTTTCCAGTACAACAACGTACACAACCTAATCAAACAAACCAATTCAGACAACAGAATTACGGTCAACCACAAAATAGGCCTACAGTAATTCAGAAAAATCCCCAAAATCCAACAAATAATAACATGAGAACCCATTATCTTGATTACAATGATTATAAT